ACATGCTCCTTAACTCACGGAATTCTTTGCATGAGTGTGTGAAAAACAGTTGAGTAGCATCAAATGAACTGCAAATGCGCACTTCACCATCTGAAAAATAAAAGTAGTGAATAGGACATAATTTTGATTGCAAAATGACTAGTTTTGCCTATTTATTCTAAACTGTTTATTTCTGACTATTTTGGGCATATTATAAATGATTGTTTACTTATGTATCAATGTTTATTAATTGTTGTTTACTAATGACTGCAACAGTCTCATGTGTTTGTCTGTTTTTTTTTTTTTAATATTAAGAGCCAGTTTGCATTTAGTTTACCCATTAGTAATTACTAATAACTATTCCTATTAATGTAAAATAGAGGGAAATGGATAAACCAAAAACATAGAAGAAGTAAATAGAGATATAACTCACTGTCCATGAATTTAGCTCTGCAGAGCTGAATCAACAGTATAACTGGATCCTTAGCAACTGAGTTGAAGTATGGAATTAGTTGATCCACATGCTCATCCCACAATGTACACTTAATCTGCCTCTGACTGCATACCATTTTAAAACCAGCAGAAAAAGCATAAGATAGAAGTTTCAAATCAAAATTAGAGAGACAAATCAGAATTAGGATTCATACCTAGAATCTTCAAGCACAAAGTCAATTAGTCTAGCCTTCTTCCCTGCTATTAGCTTCTCCACTGGAGAATATATCTCCACAATACGACCAAGGACATCTGAATTTAGAAAAAACAGCATAGTAGTTAAATAAAACATAACATCATAATAGAGGTAATAAATCATATTGACTTTAGAATTTTTATTTTAATATAACCTATCAAGACTTTCTCATCAATTCCCTGCTTTGAAAGTATGTCTTCAAAACTCTTGAAGCGAAACATTGTTTTGGGAAAATTCACACGCTTATATTCCTTCACAAGTGTATCATGTTTGATCTTCATCATGTAACGATGAGGGCTTGTTTTATACTTGAAGAAGTTAGTGATGCATATGAAGTTTCTAATGCCATACACTTTACCCTCCTTGAATATGTTCTTATATTTTGCCATAACATCCTTAGGTATATGGACATGGATGAACAGACCCTGTATTTAGAATAAAAATGGTAAACAACAAAGTTAGATATTAAAAATATAAGAGGTGCCAAACATAAGAATAAGAATTCAAACAATGGTAGATATAGATATAATTGACAAACCTCTTGATCATGAAATATACATTCTTGACTTCTTATTAACTTTTCACCTTTGTTTTCAGTAACAACGTAAGAACGCACACAACGCAACCTTATAGCCTTTGAAGTTTGCTGAGGATGAAGCTGACCCCCCACAATAAACTGGCCAGACATGATGACACTGCAAGGCAGAAAACAGAGCATTAAACAGGATCTTTGACAGCTTAGATTTCTATTTGAATTGCATAAGGGATCAGCAATCTCAACCTTGTAATTTACCACACTTAGCTTTGTTTTTGCATTGAAGCTCAACACTCACAATAAGCATGTATTTATAGCCGAGGAAGTGAGCGGGAGCAATGTATAAATAATAATAGAGTACATGTACTTGTAAGCAATCCCATGCCGATCCACACTACTTCTACACGCAACCCAATCTGATTACAACACTAAATATGGAGTAGATAATAGCCCACTCCCCTAAATTGTAGGAGTAAGATCACAACTATCTTATCACAATCTAAATAGGCGGGAGAAACAAAATTTTTGAAATCAGACTTTATAAGTTAAAGGAAAACGACGCCGTAGAATATTGTGGCTGAAAAACAATTTTGATATTTTTTTTTTTTTGATAAGAAGCGGCTTCCTTTATATATATATAGATGTTGGCTGAAAAGGGTAATTTCGTCCTTTGACCTTAGAAAAATATCACGCTTCTCATTTTAGACCAAGCTAGGGTAATAAAATGAGTTTATAAATCTTTGGAGATAAAATAGGTTTCTTATAAGGATATATTCCTAAGTAAAAACATTTGATTCAGATTTCACAGCTTTCACTCAGATTGACTTTTTGGGTCAAAACTTGATACATGAATATACTCAACACTTAGGATTTTTTAAATAAGCTACTATTTGGTGTTGAATTAATAAAAATCATGATTTAAAATATTTAATTCATACACTTATTTTAGAAAAATTTTTGAAGGATTAAAAATAATTATTTTGGATTTTTATAAAATAGAATTTAGGAAAATAAATTTTGGGTTGTCACAGGTGGTGCACTGCATCGGCGAGAGCTGCCTTCATTCTGGGCAATGGTCCTCCGCATCGGCCCTGATGTGGCCGTTCCTTGGCCGTCCGCCGCATCGACAAGAGCGGCCTGCATCAGTTCCTGGAATTCACAGACCACCGCACGAGGCACCAAGGCCATGGCTGCAACACCCTCATCAATTCACATTGGAGAATTAGAATTGAATGAGTTGGCTGGTTTTGTGATTGCAGAAGCGTTTTTGTTAAAGTTGTGCTTCGAATTTAATGAAGGTGGTTTGAAGTTGTGCTTCAAATTTGGCAAATCATTCGAGGATGCTTCCAGATGTTCAGATCGATGATTGCATGGGTGATCTGATGGCAGATTGCATATGTTTTCCGTAAATTGCTCCGCAGTTTTTCAATTACCAAATCTACCATTTTATTTGTTTAATTTTGAGAGTATATCACGCATCTGTGCGTAGACTCGGCAACGAGTAGACGATCTAGGCCAAATCTGGCCAAAGTGAGAATTGAATTAGATGTATTGAAACCTGAAATTGATAAAGTATGTGTGGAATTTGTGGTTGGTGGAGGCAATTTGAGAGGTTTTTGGCAGCAAACCGTGAGGGAGAAGGTGTCGGCGTACTGTGTCTATTGCAGTAGGTTTGGGCATTTGGTATTTTGGTGGGGAGTTGCTGATCAATTGAATAGAGGAACGAAAAGGAAAAAGGAACCCAAGCAATGAAAGGACGACTTTAACCCTGAACTTGATGCCTAACTAACGCTAAGATAACAGAAGGACCAACATTGGAAAGATTTCGAAAGTCAAAGTGTCTAAATTGTCTAAATTAAAAGTCAGGAACCAATTGTGGAAAATCAACATAGTCGGAGGACTATTGCTGGATTTAACTCAAGTAAATATTTTAAGAATGCATAACTATAACCTATGACAGAAATGTTGAATTAACTGGTGCATTAACAATTTTAGAGCGAAGTACCCTCACTGTATAGTACCTTAAGCATAGTTTTTGCAACACAAAACCCTATTAATTGGCGTGATCCATGCTTTCTCTTGTTGCCACTTCCGCCAGAAATGAATCATTGATTTGATCTAGTTTCCTGGTGTGCTTCACTGCAATTTTAGTGCTTTGGCGTAATGCACCTTAAAAAACAGAATCAAATCCTCCTTTCCCAAAAAGACAATGATAATACGCACAGTTTCTCATCTGTGTAGAATATATACTGTAAATTAGGTGTACCGTTTCATCAATGCTCATTGCGTGATTCTAATTAATTAATTGACCAAAGTTCACGTTAAATTTTATATTGTATTTTTAATACACTCTAACATATTCATAATATATGTTTAACAATGATGTTAATTTTGATTGGGATGGAGTTCAAACCTAAGACTTTCCTTATGAAAATCAATGAGTAAGTTAAGAATAATAATTAGTTAACGGAATATTTCATTACTAAAGTTTACACTGACAGAATGCAAGGGTGTTTAGAAAAAGTAAATGATATAATAGAGGGTAAAATAAGAAAAATAATAAAAAAGTACTAAAATCAAAATAATATGAATCATTCATTTAAACAAACAATTACACCAATATTCTTTAGTTCCCGTTAATAGCCTAACTTTATTGGCTCTTATTAGATTTGTTATGTTATTGTTATTGTTATATGTTACATTTGTATTTGTATGTAGATAAGATATAATAATTATATATAAATATATGGTCTCTCTTCCGATGACAACAAGTGTTTAGGTGTGACCGTGTGGTTTAATCCAGACCATCTAAATTTCTATTTACATGGCTAAGATTTGTCTAGTTTAAGAGATGGATTTTAGGGATTTGACTAAGGGTGTGTTTGGAAACCAGAAAAATGACTTCTGGAAAATGAGTCATTTCTAATATTTTCATATATTTATGACTTCTGGAAACCAGAAAATATTTTCATTTCTAGTGTTTTGTTGAATTCCATAAATATGTCTTGGTGTGTTTGGTTCATATTCCGAAAATGAGTAGAATTGTATATTTAAACATTTTAATTGTTTTGTTTAGAATATAACAACATATAATAATAATAATAATAATAATAATAATAATAATAATAATAATTTTAAATATAATAAGAAATAACTAATACGATATCAAAATAACTAACAAAAGTCTTGTAATTTAAAATAACAAACCAAAAATAATCAAAGTTTTACAATCCACAATTACGAACAAAGATTACTAATCAAAGTGTTGTTGTTGGTGGTGGTAACGGTACTGGTGGTAGTGGTATAGTAGTAGTAGTGTGGTGGGGGTAATAGTGGTGGTGGTGGTATTGGTGATGGTAACGGTGGCGGCGGTGGTTGTGGTGGTGATGGCGACGACGATGGTGGTTGCGGTAGTATAGTGGTGGTGTAAAAATTAGAAAATGACTTTCCAAAAAAAATGAGGTTATTTTCTTTTGACCAATGACTCATTTTCCTTTGACTTACATTTTTCATCATTTACCAAATACTAAAAATCTAGAAAACAATTTTCAGAAGTCATTTTCTAAGTTCCCAAAGACACCCTAATTTAAAACTGCCAACTACTTTAAAAATTGTCAAATTAAATATACCAAATTAAATTATGACCAATCTAATCAAATCAAGAGTAAGGATTAGACCATGCGTTGACACTTAAATAGTAATTCTAATATGATTAAAATTCTATATATAATATATTTTATAAAACGTATTTTTATATTTAAAATATAACTTAAGTATATTTTTCAATTAGAAAACCCTAACCCCCAAAATTGTTTCCTATTCGGCTATTCCATTCACGATTTCACGCAGTTTTCGCCTGTCGGACGCAGACGCTTTACCTGGACGAGTGGAAAACCTCGAGTCTGTGACGGCTTCATCCTATCTCCACCAACTGGCCTAACGAGCGGTGTAAACAGGTTAGTCTGATAATGTATTTGTAAATTATCGGTGACCGGAGGAGTGTAGGATACGGCGGTGGACGGAGGCTGAGGGCTGCGGCCATGGACGGAGGCCGCAGCCTTGCTGCTTGGGATATTATCTTCATGCTAACTTTATTTGTATCTCTTAATCTGACTGGTTTGTTGTCTGGAAATTCTAAACAACTTTTGCGGCAGAAGCTGGATCAATTCACTGGGTTAAATATGTGGGTTGTTATATAGGATTTTTATGTTATGTAAGAGTGATAGATAAGTGAGTATTTTGTGATTCCATGTTAATCTTATTATATTTACAAAATTTTCTGGGGAAAAGGAAAGAGATTGGACATTATTAATAGGAAATGAAATCGATGTTCTTAGAAGATAGAAACACTTGAGTAATATCAAGGGTTCAAACTAGGTCTCATGGTGAAATGCTAAGATGTCATGGGCATGACCTCAAGACAGATGCCAAGGCATTCTTAATGTTGTAATGCTAGGACATATGGTGTGTACGCTTAAATAGGTAAGGTATATAAAAATGTAAATTGCATTGGAAATCTTCCATTTGCATTTAGGTGGATTGTTACTCCCTTTTTCTCAATATAAGTGAGCTGATTCCTGATTTGGGACATCATAAAGAAATTGACTATAGATAGCCACAAATACGTATGAGTCACTTGCAGTAATTGGATTACTTTGTTTATGTGTTGGATACTTGGATTTTTGTATTATGGACTTGTGGTTTTGTGTTGTGTTTAAAACTTGTGTTGGATTTTTGTATTATAGACTTGTGGTTTTGCAGTTAATACCAGTTATTACACTTGTGTTGTTGGATTTTGTATTATGAACTTGGTTTTGTAGTTATTGCTTGATTGTCATGTGATTCATAATCATGTATTTGTGGTGATATACTTATGTTAGTTATGTATTAGCCTTTTGTATAATTGTGTTAGATATATTTTTAAAATTTTTTACACGTATGTACGTATTAAAAAGGCTTAAAGCCTACATATTATGTAGGCTTTAAATAGGCTCAAAGCTTGAAGCGTTTTTAATGGCCTGCATATTAAATAGGCTTTTAAAAAGCCTTCAGGCTAGGCCAGGCTAATTGTAGGCTCAAGTTTGAGCCTAACAAAAAGCCTACGGGCTCAGGCCTAAGATTTCTATAGTAAGCCCAAGCCTATATGCTATATTTCTAAAGCTCGGCTCGGCCTAGCCTAATTTCACCCCTAGTTAAGGGACCATTTTGGTAATTAACTTTTTGGTGTAAATGGTAGTATGGTACATGTGATGAACGAAATGGTCCATTGATATAGCAAAATTACCAATTTGGTCAAAACAAACGGAGGACCAAATTGGTTAAGATTTTTAAAGTTGGGGCCTGGGGGCCTCAATTGGTCAAAAAAAAAATAGTCAAGGACCTTAGTTATTATCTGTTTTTTACAAGTTATTATCTGTTTTTTAGTCAAGGACCTGAGTTGAGGGACCTTAGATTTTCAACCAGACATTTCCTAACCTTGATACACTGTAAAACCCTGGAAGTAAATAAATGAAGTGAATATTGTAGAACTAGAACACTTGTATCATTATATAGTATCATTCCAGCTCTTCCTTAGTTATTATCTGTTTCTTTCTTTCTATTTTATTCCTCTTCAGGGATTGCACAGAGCTTATTGGCTCCTGCAAGCACATCTTTTCATGTTACCCTTTTTTCCCAAAAACTTTGCTTGAATCAGTTTTTATTTATGTACCTTCTTGTTTTTTTAATTTTATTTTTTATTATTTTTTATTTTTATTTTGTTTTTGTTTTTGTTTGGTTTGGTTTTTTTTTTTTTTATGTTTATGTTTTTTTTTTTTTTTTTTTTGTTGGAAACTTTTGTAAATAAATTTTGGATTTGAAATTTCCATGTTTTCATAAACATTCAAACTTGAACAATGTTAGAGTCCTTCAAACTTGAACAATGTTAGAGTCCTTCAAACTTGAAATAGATCATCAGAACTGGTAATTCTTTGCATCCTTCAAATGGTCTTTGGCTAAAATTTTCTTCCTTATTAATTCTGCTTCAGTAGATATGTGCAGTGTGGAGGCATGTTACATTTTTGTATTGTGTGTTAGCTTCTTTAGTTCTCAATTAGGGCCAGGGATCACTCTGGCAGGATAAGAGTGAATTAAATAAGTAAATAGCTACTCAGTTAAAAGTAATTGCTCTCCCAATGGAATATGATCCTTGAGTGAATCTAGACAAAACTACATATAACAAAAAACAATGCTGCTACCAGAAGAGTAGAAATGATCATACACCTTGAATACTTAGTGCAGATTATTGCATTATTGCATAATCAACTATGATCTCCTCCATTCTGTCTTGAAATTCATCATTACCACTCAAATTGGACCTTTGTTTTTATTCAAACTCATTTTTCTATATGCATTCTGGAAAGATTCTTGGATGAAACAGCTTTTTGGATTCTAAATAAGTTCATTTTTTCCGTCTAATTTACAGATAAAGATAATGAAAAAGTCAGGATATGGATTACAGCTTAGAGCTCCACCTTCCCAGCAGAAGAAACAGCCAACAAGACCCCCTCTACCCACTGCACTTGGTTTTGGTGATGGGGATGATGATGATGTTGAGAAAGAAATCTCTCGCCAAGCTTCCAAGAACAAGGCTCTGAGAGATGTAAGTCTGGCTATATTAACAAGATTATGTTTAATCACTTTTTATTTTTTCCTTTCTAAAACTGGTTTTTATTTATCATAATTTCAACAAAATTCCTTTTTCTGACTGCTTGTGGGCCTGTGGCAGATCGAGGAGCAGCATAAGAAGGCTCTAGAAGAGGATCCATCAGTGTTTGATTATGATGGAGTATATGACGACATGAAAATGAAGGCTGTACAACCTCGAGCACAAGACCGTGAGGAGAGGAAGGTATTTTTAGCATTGCATTTATTATTGTTGTTGTTATTTTTTTTTATTATTTTAGGGTTACTGAATATTCATTTCTTGCCCCCTTGATTCCTTTGCAGCCAAAATATATTCAACAACTAATTGATAAGGCCAAGCAGCGTGAACGCGAACATGAGATAATATATGAGAGGAAACTTGCCAAAGAGAGAACTAAAGATGACCACCTCTTTGCAGACAAAGATAAATTTCTCACTAGTGCATACAAGAAGAAACTTCAAGAGCAGGAAAAGTGGATGCAGGAAGAGCGTCTTCGTGAGCTAAGAGAGGCAAAAGATGATGTAAGTTGCTTTCTTTTTTATTTTTCTTGATTTATCCTATTCATGTGTAACTGTCATGTTTTTTTTTTTTTTTAAAAATAATTATTATTCTTCTTCCTCTCTCTCTCTCTTAAACTTCTGACTCTGCACTTTGAAATGTGTGCACGAGTTTTCCTGTTTATATTTATTCTATTGTGGGTTGATTTTCAGCTACACTCTCTTAAGCAAGAGCTGTACTTAAGTCTTTTTTGTTTTGCTCAAAGTTGACTTCTGAGTTCTGGAATATATCCTCGGACTCTGTAATCTATATGATAATGCCTTCAAGCATTGACTAAGGATTTTATTCTTCCTGATAACTTTTACCCATTTATTCTTTCTTTGTTCCCCTGTTGGCCTGAAATAATTGTTATGCTTTTTTTGTCAATTCAACCCGCTATGATAATGTATAAGTAAACCTGCTTTACATCAACAATGTCCCATGTGTTTATCTATATATCCGCAACAAATTTTGAGTGAGTTGAACATAGTTTTCTAAACTCTTGTTGCTCCTGCTTTTGCCCCTTTCCTTTGATAGGTTACTAAGAAGACAGACATTAGTGACTTTTACTTCAGCCTGGCAAGTAATGTCGCTTTTGGAGGTGGAGAGTCGAAGATAAACAAGCCCGAGAAGCAGCATGAAGAAGAGGTGGCAATTCAACCGCAAAAAGAGATCCCATCCTCGAGCACTGTGCCCCCAGACATGTCTAGGGAGATAAAGAGGCGAGAGATTGAGAGTTCTCCCCGTCCCAAAGAGAGGTCTCCACAGGCCACAGATACAAGGCCTATTTCCAATGCTTCCTCCGAAGAGAAAGCCATAACTGCACCGGCAGTTGATGATGGACCGGTTGCTGGTCCTGTAAATGAAGAAGCATTAGTTAACGATCAACCAAGAAAGGAGCATCATAAAAGAAGCGGCGATGCACTGACTGCAGCTAAGGAACGGTTTTTGGCACGAAAGAGAGCAAAGGAAGAAAGGTTAATATGAGGTGCAATGTGCATTTAGGTTTTCTCATCTTCTTTACCTAGTGTTGTTGAGGTCTATTGGGCCCCAATTTGAGTCACATTCTCACACCCTGATGTCATTCTGGCAGTAAATGCATACTGGAGTCTCTTGTTTCAATTCATTTGTGGAAAATGCTTTAGAAATTCTTGAATATGTAAGTGTTCCAAGTTTGTAATCTGTTATATTTTAGCAAAATGCATCATTTCAAAGGCTGATCAATAATGTTACATTTCCTAAATCATTTAATTTTCATTAAATAAATGATGTAATAGCTTACTTATACTATACTATAATTTTGGCTTATTGCTGAAAAAGCTAAAAAATCTGTTGCTGTCTTCGTCCGGCCGCGAATAAAGGTTGGATGAAGACACTCAAGCCAGCCGCGCTTGTCGGCAGTTGTTTTTGTTTGAAGTTTTTAATTTTTAATATTTGATTTAAGACATTTGTTTTTCTTAAAAAAATTACATTATTATTGTTATTGTTATTGTTATTGTTATTATTATTATTATTATTATTATTATTATTATTATTATTATTATTATTATTATTATTATTATTATTTTGTTTTGCAACACTTATTCTTTACAAAGTAGTACTCCGTATCTGTATAAGTCAAGGTTTAATGGCAAAAGTGAAAGATTTTGATTTATGGAGTGTATGCAACTTCAGGGGTGTGCAAGAAAGTTAGTAGTAGACAATTCAATTGTTTGACCAACTTAGTTAGATAATTATATTCAATATTATACGATTGATATTCAAAACTATTTTTTTTTCTTTTATTTGAATAATGAATGTTGATTTTCTTTACTATTATTTTTAATTAAATATGATGAATTAAAGCGCATGTTTTATACACTCTAACAGGGCGTTTGGTTGGAGGGGGAGAATTATGTGGGAAAGGAATTGTAATTCCATGGGCGTTGAATTACTAGGAATAAAGTGGGAATTTAAATTCCAGTGTTTGGTTGACAAGAATAGAATTATTGGGAATTTCAATTCCAATGTTTGGTATACATGGGAATTGAAAGGGAATAAGTAGTATAAAGTCAAAGATGTTCATTATTGTTGTTAGACATTAATTTTAGGTTAAAAAAGGAAGGGGTATTTTTGACTCATCACTATCTTTTTTTTCTCAGGAATTAAAATCCCAGGGGGGACATGTGATTTTAATTCCATGAAAATGGGGGAATTGGAATTGCAATTCCCTCCAACCAAACTACGGAATTTAATGGTCTTTGGAATTAGGTGGGAATTAAGTGGGAAGGGAATTTAAAATCCCTCCAACCAAACGCCCTGTAATTGCGTAACTCTTCTCCATTTTTTCACTTTATGTACGTTTTTGGAGAAACCAAATTTAGACTTTTCCAAATGGAGAAATGGAGAAAACACGGTGAACAGTACACTTGACTAAAAGGTTGCCGGTTTGAATCAATCTTTGCGCCTTTACTTCAGTTTTTTCTCTTCAGTCTTTGCATCTTTGCTTCAGTTTTTCCCATCTTCTTCAGATCATCATAAGTTTATTTGCCTCTTCTTTAGTTGTTTATTATTATTATTATTATTATTATTATTATTATTATTATTATTATTATTATTATTATTATTATTGTTATTGTTATTGTTATTGTTATTATGGAAACTAGTATGATACCCATGCGATGCATGGGATGAATATTGTTCATCTTATTGTGTAATTGTGTGAAAAATTTAAGAGAAGATATAATATATAAAAAGTTGGAACGGAAATATAAAATGGAAAATAGAAATAATAAAGAAATTACTTTAACATACAATATAGAAAAATAAGAGTGACAAAATTACAAATTATTGAAAATTTCGTGGTATATACCATGTTGGTTGTTGATGTATAGATCTATTATGATTTTCTGTAATTTTTGTTCGATAAATGAATTAAGTTTAACGAACTAAATTTGAAAATATTGCAAGCTACTGTACCTAATAATTATTATATATTTTGTTTAATTTTGCAATGAAATTAGAGATATATATATAGACTAAAAGATAATCTATATATATCTATACTAAAAGTGACGAATATACCTTAGAAACATGAAACACAAACTCCAAAGTATGAGAATTGTATGTGTTATTGTTGAATGTTGACTCGTACATTCGGATTAGGCGAACTTGTATCGCACAATTCGTGAAGGTAGCAGTGATTTGGTTAAGTAGATTGAAGGTGAGAGCCATATTGAAAAGTTGAAAAGTTTAGCGTATGAAAATTGAAAAGTATAGGAAGAGGATTGCAAATGAATGAGAAGCATGACCAATGAGGTATTTATAACTATGAATTTGTGCAAATGAATTATAAATGAATAATTTGCGTTCCAAATTATGTAATCAAGGGTGCAAATTAAGGATGATTTAATTTAATTATGAAATACTAAATACTAATACTAATAGCTATTGCATGATTTTCGTGCATAGTAACAAATGAATAATAATTCCTGCATACTAAATACCATGAATTACACGTGCATACTAATTATAGTAATAATAATTCGTTAAGGCTAATAGGATGCATGATTCCGCGTTTCTGTATGTGAATAATTTGTTTTGTAAGGCTAATTCGTTATAGTAGTATTATATTATTATTATTATTATTATTATTATTATTATTATTATTATTATTATATAAATATAAATATCATGCCCTTTAATAAACTATTTTTATATATGGTAATTAATTTCATAATTACAAATACAAATTACTAAATGTAGGGAGACTTTTGCGACATTTCAATTTGCCAAATAATTTTAAAATAATTTATTATATCATTTCAAACCTTTTAATAAGTTATTTTTAAATTAATATATATAATTAAATTATTCTACCCAATTATATATTTCATTCATAAATCTGATTCAGATAACTATATATGATGTACGATATATATATATATATATATATATATATATATATATATATATATATATATATATATATATATATATATATATATATATATAATATTATCCTATTATACCTATATGTAATTCTAGAATTGACAGTTACATACGTTCATATGGAAATAATTATTATATAAATAAATTTTCTGCCTTTTAATAGACTATTTTTATATATAGTAATTAATTTCATATTTACAAATAAAAATACAATATGAAAAAGTAATGTAAATCTTTAATGTAAAAAATACACAGAATTGAATCATTGCATGCCCTTTGCCCAATTGAAACAAATTTCTCGAGATATGTTGTTGTAGCAAAGAACGCACTTCAGTCCGACTTCATTGCAATGTTGCCTAGGATCCACCCCACGAAGTCGCCACATTCCCATTGCACGCGTTTATAGATAGGAATCAGGCGCTCCCAGAACTCCCTAGTCTTCCAGCATTTCCTTATTACAATATGATCAACATCTTCATCAACATCGGGGCAGAAGATACATGTGCCATCAATAGGGAGAACTCTCTCTTCACATTACACAGGATGCGTTGATATTAGAAGGGCGGTGTATTCTGCCCTTCAATGGGCTTGGGATATATAATAATAATAATAATAATAATAATAATAATAATAATAATAATAATAATAATAATAATAATTTTTATAGAGATATACACAATGTACGTAAATAAACAACTATATATATATATATATATATATATATATATATATATATATATATATATATATATATATACATTATTTTTCGTATGAATAAAACAAATATATATATTTTTTATTTTTAAACAAATATATACAGTTTATATATAGTTGTACACTTATTTCTTGAATCTAAATGAAATCAATAATAATTTTTTTTAAGCAAAACATATTAACCGTATAATTCATAAATATTTTTTTTAAGTATAAAAATGTTTTTAAGTAATCAATTGAGTCATTTCATATGCCAAAACATTCAATCAAATAATTATCAACCAATATATCCATCAGTTTGAAAAATACTTTGGGTAAAGTAAAAAGAAAACAACCACTTACCGTGAAATCTTATTTTTCCAAATTTCTCTAAGTCTCAATTGTTCAAATCCTCCTCTTCTATCAACCATCATCATCATCAACAATAAAACAACACAAGATACACATAAGCACCCGTAAAATGTTAAGGTCCCTACTTGTATTCTACCCATACTAAATAAAATAAAATAAAGGAATAACACTTACAAAGCAATTGTTGAAAGGAGAGTTCCAACCTTGAAGAAGAAGAAGAAAAAGAAAATATATAATTTTATATTGTATAAAAGTTCATGGCAATGGAGGAAAGAGGATGAAAGAGGAGGAAAGACAAATTTTTGAGTCAATTCCATTTTTGGTCCTACTGTTATAGGGGCGTTTTCAATTTTAGTCCACTTTAATTTTTTTTGCCACTTTACAACCACTGTTATTAAATGTGTTCCACTTTTAGTCCACCGTTAATATTTCCGTCAAGAGGCCGTATAATCAAAGGGTATTTTGGTCTTTTTATGTTTGTCTCTTCTCTTTTAATACAGACGCTTCGTCCTCCTCCTCTGATATTCGAAGATGGCTCTTCGAACAATGAGAATGGGAAGCCAAAGCTACATCGTTTCGTTCGTTCCAACATGGGCCGGGGAGGTTTCTTAGGTTTTAGGTTTAATGTTCTCATTTCTTTAGTCAAACGTAGTCTTGGATGAGAAGAAATGTCAAAATACCCCTAGATTACACGGCCTCTTGATGAAAATACTAACGGTGGGACTAAAAGTGGAACACATTCAATAATAGTGGTTATAAAGTGGCAAAAAAAATTAAAGTGGACTAAAATTGGAAACGTCCCTATAACAGTAGGACCAAAAATGGAATTCACTCCAAATTTTTTAAATTCTCATCTACATAATTATATAGGTAGTAAACTAATCTTTATGAAATAATTTAATAGTCATTAATAGGGCATAGGAAGAGATTGGTAACTTCCAATCATAATAAATTTTGATTCCAAAATAAAGGAATATATATTACATATATATTATTCTTCTCACGTTACACACATTTATTTATATTATATATATACACATGCTAATTATTATTATTATTATTATTATTATTATTATTATTATTATTATTATTATTATTATGAGTTTGGTTTTACAAAAATGTCACTAAGTTTTTGGGGGGAAAATTTTTGTGTCAATCATTTTGTTTTAATATATATATAGATAGATATAGATTACTTGTTTCAATACATATAATGTCTAATGTGTTATTTACTTGGAAATTCTATTAAAGATTGATTCTTTTATCTATGATGATTGAATTACATTGATA